ACGCATTAACAAAAACACTAAACACTGTTCGAGACGTTCTTGACCGTCGCGGTAGCACGGTCTCGTGTTGTTTCCACCAGCGCTGCAATTTTTTTTATCACTAATTGATGGATGTCTAAAATATAAAAACAAGGAGAAGCCTAAAACAGGCCAATGCCTGGCCCGTGTCTGAACTATGACGTGAAAATTGGCCTGAAGCCATGCCCTGGGGCATAAAAAAGTCAGGGCCCGTTGGCAGTGTTGCCAGATTAGGCGGGTTCCCGCCCAATTGGGCGGTTTTGAATTTGATTGTGCGGGTAAAAATTGGCTTGGGCGGGTGGACATAATTTTGGGCCAGTTTGGGGTCAGTTTGGCGGTTTTCAAACATATACAGTAAGTTGTATAGGCTAATTGGTTAATGAACAAACCTAAATGTGCATGTACTGCATCCAATCAGTCATCACAACATTATAAACACGCACACTGCAGAGGCGCTGATGCTGATGTTGACAGCCACACTTATAGCCAATCACGAGGGATCAGCAGACAGATGTGATGATTTTTTATGTATAACTTAATTATGATATTTGAAAGTATAACTGTATATTCAAGTAATCACAATGCTTAGATGTAATTAAGTTACATGGTAAAGAGTGAGTCAACTCTCAAAACGTGAATTACTGTGGAGGGAGATGACACGAAGGCTCTAATACCACTGCATCTCTGAAATCAGAGCACAGTTGAATAAATTAATCAAAATCGAAACTAAATATCTAGGTCTATATGTGTCACGGTGCACACACACGAGGAACGAGGAGACGCTGGAGAATACTTTAACAAGACTTTAATGCCAGGAACCAAGGGAGACGAACACAGGAAGACGTTTAACAGCGGACAGAGAACTAGGGACTGGGAACACTTTAAATACACACAGGCGGAGGGGATGATGAGACACACCTGGGAGCAATGAAACATAACTAGGGCAGGAACAGGAAACTAACAAAATAAGGGCATGGGAAGGCACATGGGGAGCAAAACAACCACAAAACACGGAACAAGAGTCTGACAATATGATCCTGTCTTTTATCTTTTAAGATCCAGATTGGTATATCCTTGAATGCTGGCTTGATTAGTTTTGACTGTGCAAAGTTCTGTATTATGTTCTACAATATGAACTTCACAAAAGACTTCTAGTTCTGTCTGAAGTTAAAGTGCAACACAAAGGATTATCGTACAGTAAGTATCAATGAGTGACAATTTTGAAAGTCATGGTGTGTGCATGAATGAGTGTGAAATACCTGTTAATTACTTTGATTTTTCCGATCACTTATATTGGGCACTTTTTGCTAAATTGACTTTTTCTGACTGTTGACATTGAAAATGATGCATGTGTTTTGGTTAATTTCTTGATTGCCGTTTTGACAGTGTCTGCTTGCATATTTTAATCATATTTGGTAATTATCTTTAATGCAGCTTATTTGTCCTGTTTTGACCTGTTTACCTGGGAAATTTATATAATTTTTTCATCATTATTTTACAGTGTTGGGGAAGCTACTCTGAAACTGTAGCTTGACCAGCTACAAGCTACTCGTAAATTAAAGTAGTTAATCTACGTTCAAGCTACCCTTCTGAATAAGTAGCTAGCTACACTACAAGTTACTGTCAAAAAGTAGCTAGCTACATTGAAACTGCTTTCAATTTGTATTATTATTATAATTGTTTATTATTTTTTTGTTTTTTACAATTAACATTACAAATAACTAAATAATTATTAAGGAAGAATTATAATTAAGTTATAAGCAAAATATAATGAAGTTATAAGTAAAATATTTGGGGTTTAAAACAACATACTGTAATGCAATCATGATTTCAAAGAGTAGAGTGAATTCAGGTTGATTGGGACACTTTTCCAAGCCATTGCAATGACAAAAAGTGTCCCAATCATTTGATTTTGTAAACTATTTGATACACATAATATATGTATAGTTATGTATAATAAATGTATAGTTAAATAGTTATTTTAGTTATATTAATATAATACTACAAACGTGTAACACCAACGTATGAACAAAATGTATGCAACTTAAACTGGATACGGAGGAGTCATAAAATAAGCAGGTTAAACTCACAGCTCATGTAGTATTTACTGAGTGTCAATGGAGACTGAGAGACTGAGAGACTGCGCTTTGCATGAATCCCGCCGCAACCAACCTTTGCCAAATGATAAGCACACTACTATAACACGATTTTATTTTCTGTTCGATTAGTGTTCATTACAAAACTGTGGGGCACAGATTATATTATGACTATCATTGTAAAATAGACATTTGATCTAGAGTGCAATAAAGAAGAAAAATTAATCAGTTTAAAAAGGCTATTATTCACCTCCTGTATGTGCTTTAAGTCTTCGACGTAGACCGCATTTTAATCTTAGTTTTTTACGTAAATTACAGTTGATTCATGTGAAATATCCACTCCTGTACATCCTTTGCAGTATCTCTTGTCGGTGGAAAAACTGTAAAGCCGCGCGATGCATGATATCACAACAGATGGCGGTAATGAACAAATTTAGTTTGTGATCTAGTCAGAAGAAGATGCTAGAAGATGGCGGTAATGCAACGCTTTTGGATGCAAGCCGCCGTTAAACCTCGAAGAAGACGACGCTGCGCTGCTTCAATGCATTACAGGCTTGTGACTCGTCAGGACGCAAAACGGAATGTAGCGTTTGGTCGCGCTACATCGCTACTTACTGAAAAAAGTAGTTAGCTACAGGAAAAGCTACACTGTTTTAAATGTAGCGTCGCTACTGTAAAGCTACTGAAAAATGTAGTTACGCTAGTAGCGTCGCTACTTGTAGCTAGCTACTCCCCAACACTGTTATTTTAAGGAGTTAAAACGGTCCTTATCAACCTTGATTGACATGGTAATAACATTTTATCACATTATTTTGACAGTTAAAGTTTTGGGCAGTTTTTTGTTGGAGTGGGTGGGTTTTTGTGAGCTTTTGGGCTGGTAATCGTCCGATTTTGTTTACTACACACATACTAAAGCGCGGACGATGCTCGCAGTGTTTTCAGCATTTGCCGTCTCTTTATATGACAATATGTAGGGCTGCACGATTAATCGAATGCTATTGTCATGTGCATCTTGTCAGTAAAGCCGGTCCTGTGATTAGTAGTAAATCTACATCACGTGATTTCAGATGGAGCAGCATTTACTACACAGAGCCGTAGTTCACTGACAAGCTACGCAAAATCGCGTTCATAATCGCAGATGATTTAATCGCGCGATTATGAAATCGAAGAAATCGTTCTGCGATTATGAAAGCTGTGTGTGTAGCTTCTCAGTGAACTATGGCTCTGTGTAGTAAATGCTGCTCCATCTGAAAGCAAATTTTAATAAGACGAACTCAGATAAACCATATATTGTCGTAGTCGTGTGTTTATTAGTCACGTTGAATCAATGAAAGCAGTTAAATCTTCTGTTTATTCAGCAACCGCTATAGGGATTTCCTGGGTTTCTTCTGCGGTGCGTATTTGGAGTTTCAGCACGAGAGCGCCCTCTGGCCTTCGGTTGGAGATTTACTGCTGATCACAGATCACAGCTTCACTGAAAGATATGCATGACAATCGCAGCTTCTGCCTAATTGCGATTTATCGCCTTTGCGATTTAATGTCGATTAATCATACAGCCCCACGGATATCATCTCCAGCTGCTCTGAGAGTCACTTCATTAGCATTTTACCGTTTAATTTGAGAAAACTACCGTCATATCACATTCACAGCAGCTGCAAGTGAAGAAACTGTCATAAATATATTACAATTTAGCAGTCTAAAGACTCAATGTAACAACAATGCTACTACTAATAATAAATATTAATAAATCTTTTTTTTTAAAGGAATAATCACATTTGTTTTCTTTTTAATTTTAACAGTAAACCTCTGTTGTGCAGCACTTTGTTTGCCAAAAAAATAAAAGGGTTTAATTTTCATTTGATTAGGATAAATTAAATTAATGTTTTATGCCTTCATCTGATTACCAGAAAAATTAAGAAGAACATTTTATAGGCCCTGTTATTGTTTAAAAAAAGGACCCTATACAAAACAAGAACAGGTTTAAAAAAACAGGCCTGTGGCTCTTAATTTCTTTTTATTAATTCACCATTTGTAAACTGATGTTTACTGTTCATTTTTTAGAAATATCAATAGCATTTGTATTAAAACTATGTTCACTGAATGTAATAAAAAAAATCGAGAATATAATCGAATTCGAATTGAGAGCTTGTGAATCAAAATCGAATCGGGACATCTGAATCGATACCCAGCCCTATACATAATATATGTATGTATACTGTGTATATTTATTATGTATATATAAGGTAAAAACATGAACTTAACTAAGTAGCTAACAGACATTCATCATTCTTGGTGTGCTCCTGGACTGAAGCACAGTACAATGGTAACCTCACAAAACATCAGAAACCCTTCAGATTCCAACAGATCACTAACAGAGCACGCAAGATCTCAGCAGAAGATGATTAAACACCACAAAAACAGCATGACCAGCTTCACTCATTACTAACCAGGGTTGTGTCTCCCAAAAGCAACTATGGTTGCAAGTTTCGTTGTTACCAATAGAGTTAATGAATTCCAACAATGCATGGTTGTGAGAACACATTGTGGCTTAGGATGATCATCATATTGTAAAGGCTTCAATTTAATTATATAAATATATAGTCTGACATGCTGCTTGTTTCAGATTGAATCTTGACACTGTGTTCTTGTACATGTTTTCAGTGTCCCAGAGAGTAGCTTGGTTCAGAGTAAATGCTACTCCTTATTAACTCCATCTTTCCAAGAGCTTTTGGCTCACTTATGATGTACATTTGAAAACACAACGTGCCCCAACCATCTTCAAATGATGAATGTCACAGATTTGGCCTACAGGTCACCAGTTGAAAAGTATTGATTGTTATTTTATTGTATATCTCTTCATAACATGAACACTTACTGTTGTTGTAGATTATCTCGTTGTTTGGTGACAGAAGAAGGTTGTGCTGCTCTGTCATCAGCTCTGAGTTCAAACCCCTCACACCTGAGAGAGCTGGATCTGAGCTACAATCACCCAGGAGATTCAGGAGTGAAGCTGCTCTCTGAAACACTCAACCATCTGGACACACTCAAGTAAGTTGAGCAGAATGTATGTTAAAAAATAATCCTGTCTTATGTTTATATATTTTTAATTGCTGCATCTTCCTGCTGTAAGACTGGTGAAGTGGGTTAACCAAGGATGTCTTGCAATCTAATGTGATACCTGCATGCCTTTTAACCAAAGTCACATTTTTCAGTCTGACAGGCTGTAATCTCACTGATCAGCAATGTGAAATCGTGGCTTCAGCTCTACAGTCATCAAACTCCCCACTGAGAGAGCTGGACCTAAGTAACAATGACCTGCAGGATTCAGGAATAAAGCTGCTGATTGGACTGAAGAGTCCAAACTGTCAACTCAGCATACTGAGGTTTGGCTTTCACATTGATTCATTAATATTTTAATAATAATGTGTCATTTATTAGGAACACCTGTGCACCTACATATTCATGCAATTGTGTAATCAGCCAGGCATGTGGCAGCAGTACAGTGCATAAAATCTTGCTGGTGTGGGTCAGTTAATGTTCACATCAAACCATCAGAATAGGAGAAAAAAATGATCTCTGATTTTGGCAATGGCATGATTGTTGGTGTCCGGCAGGCTGGTTTAAGTATTTCTTTAACTACTGATCTACTGAGACTTTTACACACAACAGTCTTTTACTAAGAATTCACTTTTACTAAGAAATGATAAATATCCAGTGAGTGGGAGATCTGTGGATTCATATGCTTTGTTGATGGGATAGGCCAACGGAGAATAGCCAGACTGGTTTGAGCTGACAGAAAGGCTACAGTAACTCCGATAACCACTCTGCAATTGTGGAGAGCAGAACAGCATTTCAGAATGCATAGTATCTTGATCATTGAGGTGAATGGGCTACAACAGCAGAAGACGACATCAGGTTCCACTTCTGTTGGCCAAGAACAATAAACTGAAGCTGCAGTGGTCACAGAATCACTAAAACTGGACAGTTAAAGTCTTCAAAAACATAGCTTGATCTGATGAATCTCGTTTTCTGTACACATATGGTCACAATTTGGTATCCACCGCATGACTCCATGGACTCATCCTGCCTTTTGTTACCAGTCCAGGTTGTGCAATGGTTTTGGGAATGTTTTCTTGACACACTTTGGTCCGTTAATTCCAATCAATCATCACTTGAATGTCACAGACTGTTTGAGTATTGCTGATGACCTTGTGCATCCCTTCATGGCCACAATTTACCAATCTTCAAATGGTTATATCCAGCATGATAATGTACCATGGCACAAAGCCAAATTTATCTCAAACTTGTTTTGTGAACATGACAAAGACTTCCCTGTTCTTCACTGGCATTCGCAGTGCCCGGATCGGAATTCATTTGGGATGTTGCAGAAGAAGAGATACACAGCATGAACATACATCTGACAAATCTGCATAAATGGCATTATGCTGTCATGTCACCATGGATCAGAATTTTAAAGCAATGTGTTTGGATTGTTTGTGTTTGTGGAATTAATGGCATGAGGAATTCATACTGTTTTGAGAGCACTTGGAGGCCCTTCCCAATATTTTAATAGAGTGGTCCTAATAAAGTGTTTTACAATTAACACACTATATTTAATCAGTGCCTATGTAATGGATTGTTTTTCATTACCCTGTTTAGATTGGTCAGCTGTAATCTCACTGATCAGCACAGTGAAATTGTGGCTTCAGCTCTACAGTCATCAAACTCCCCCATGAGAGAGCTGGACCTGAGTAACAATGATCTTCAGGATACAGGAATAAAGCTGCTGTGTGCTGGACTGAGGAGTCCAAACTGTCAACTCAACATGCTGAGGTATTTAATGGGGTTTTTAACTCAGTGTAGAGCATTCCTAGGGGTTACAGAGTATTTGTTAAATATAAAAACAAAATATATATTGTGTGTTTGAGTGGTCCAGACGCTACAGTATATACAGTGCCCTCCACAAATATTGGCACACTTGGTAAATATGAGCAAAGGCAGCTGTGGTAATAAATATGCATCGTTTATCCTTTTGATCTTTAATTAAAAAAATTCACAAAATTCTTTCATTGAAGTAAAACAATGGAAAGTGGGGGGGAAATCTCATTATGAAAAATGTTTTTATCTAGTTTACGCAAAAATATATGTTAAAATATATGTGCAATAAATAGTAAAGTATAAAAATGGATAGCTTTTTAATGTAAACGTTGTTATTCCTGTCGAGTTGAGTCAATGTTGATTCAATTCAGTTCAATAACAGCTTTGAGGGTGCAAAATAAGAAGAGGAAATAAAGAAATAACCCCAACATGAATGGATCAGCTTAACAGTGTTTAACTAAAAACTGGGTTATAATAAACTTTACTTTGAAAATGAAAAAAAAAATGAAAAAAAGAGATAATTTGAACATTTTAGTGCTGTTGTTTAGAAATGAGGAAAACTGAGGAAGAGCATTGAAAAGATCTGATACAATATCTACATCTAATGTAGAACTATTTTATTTTGCATAAAAAAAATCTTTGCTTATCCTGCAGATACAATGAATTTGCTCACTGGAGTCAGAGCAGTTCACAGGTATTTGAGCAGATGTTCAGTAATGAACACACAAAAAGTTTACTGACCCAACTGCATGAAGAACCAAACAGGTTCAATTGTGTTTCACACACTTATTGAGTAAAATGTGTTTGGATATTTATGCCTAACGCTGGCCTATGAGCTTAACAAGATATACTTTCTGGTCTGGATTTAGTCGGTGGCCAGTAATTGATGACCACTAAGCACTTTTTAACTCACTGGTGAGTTTTGCACAGAGAATCTCATGAATCAGACAGCTTCATGATTTCATTAAAATCATTTAGAGAGCCTTATAACTGACTGTTTACAGATTTGCCACATTGGTCACCAGTTGAAGAGCCCTGTTGGCTATTGTATTGTATATCTTTTCATTATTTTAACAATTGGACTTTTGTTGTAGATTATCTGGCTGTATGGTTACAGCAGAGGGTTGTGCTGCTCTGGCATCAGCTCTGAGTTCAAACCCCTCACACCTGAGAGAGCTGGATCTGAGCTACAATCACCCAGGAGAATCAGGAGTGAAGCTGCTCTCTGAAACACTCAACCATCTGGACAAACTCAAGTAGGTTGAGCAGTAACAATCGTCCTCCCTTCTGTGATTGTGAGAGAATCTGTAATTTTTTTAGGGCTGCCTCCTAATAGTCGACCAACCGTTAGTCGACCAGAAGAAGCTTGGTCGACCAAAATTTTATTAGTCGCTTAGTCGCAGAAAAAAAAAATCCACCGGCGAAGTCATGCAGTTCGTGCCAGACAGATCGTTAACGGCTGGTCTATGGTAACACAGTACATTGGGCAAGACATCCAAACGCTCGCCTATCATTCATTGACCTCAAATATGGCTTATCATCTGAAATATGTATGTATTAGCAACTTTACATGGCCGCTCAATCTAATGTTAACCTAGAAAAATGTGCGCTATTGAAGTGTCTGTGCGAAGCATGGAAACTGAACAGTACCGAGCTCACTGCAGGACAGATGGAGGCGCCGGTGCGCTCACTTACTCTTAAAATACTCCCTCATTTTTGCTCATACAGATAAGAGTAATGCATCTTTAGAATCTGTAAAGACTACGTTTATTTGTGTGCACTCACAATAACAACAAAACATGGCACTTTTGTAAAATAATAAAAGCAAACAGGGTGCGCTTTCTGATGTCTCGGTCTCTGTGAACTGGAGCGCAAAACTCTGTGTATATTTGCCTTACAGATATGAAAAACATATAGAGAGTGAAATGTCTACTTTAAAATGGACCAGTTCAAATGGAAAGCAAATATTCTCAGATTATGTAATCTGTAAAAACATACAGGCGCACTACTACAGCAGAGACGACGAGTCAGTGTCGCCGACTTCATCTCTTAAGCCGAAAACAAATAGTGTATCAATACATTATTATAATGTTAATGCAGCCTCCTTACTGTTTTTCCCTGATACATTCGTAATTATTATCTTACTTCTGGCCGGTGCGCTGTGGCAAGCTTTAAGCGTGCGCTTGAGCACTTATTAGGCTATGTAGGCAATTAAAGGCTCATTATTATTATTTAAAAGGTTTATTAATAAATGTGTGATTAGTTGACCTATGCTTAAAATGAACGACTAAAAATCTTTAGTCGAGGGCAGCCCTACATTTTATATATATTATATATAATATATTAGGGCTGTCAGTTTAACTCGTTAACTTAGTTAACTCAAAAGGCGGGCTTCGTTCGATAGAGCGGCCATATTGAGTGTTGCATTTTTCCTATTCAAAACTATACGAGTGACACGTCTTGGGTATTCTATAGTCTTTGGCCTTTAGATGCCTATAGCCTATCAGCACTCAAGCGCACACATAAAGCTTGCCACAGTGCACCACAGAAGTAAAGATTACGAATGCTTCAGGGAAAAAAACGGCAATAAGACTGCCTTAACATCATAATAATTCAATACTCATTTGTTTTCCATTTGAATTGGTTCATTTAAAAGTGGACATTTCGCTTTCTGTAGATATATTTTTAATGTCTGTGAGGCAAGCACAGAGTTTCTGTTCCTTTTTATTTTATTTTTTTTGGACGCGCTCAAGTTTACAAAGACCTAGACGGCAGAAAGCACACTCTGTTTGCTTTCATTATTTTTAAAAATCACAACGTTTTGTTGTTAATGTGAGTGCACACAAATGAAAGTAGATCTTTTACAGATTCAAAAGATGTATTACTCTTATCTGTATGACCAAAAATGACAGAGTATTTTAAGTTAAATGCAAATGATCGCACCGGCACCTGAGCTTGCTACAGTTCAGCTTCCACACTCTGCACAAGGGCAGTCGTGGCCTGAAGGTTAGAGAGTCGGACTTGTAACCCAAAGGTTGCGGGTTCGAGTCTTAGGTCCGGCAGGGATTGTCGGTGGGGGGAGTTCACGCTCTTCCACCCTCAATACCATGACTGAGGTGAGACCCTTGAGCAAGGCACCGAACCCCCAACTGCTCCCCGGGCGTCGCAGCAATATGGCTGCCCACTGCTCTGTGTGTGTGTTCACTACTGTGTGTGTGCACTAGGGTTGTGCCGATAGATAGAGATCGACAGAGATATTGATGATAGCAGATGTCTTTATCAATAGTCAAGACGATATTAGACTCATTCTCCTATAAATATATTAAATGATTATTATTAGGCGGCCTATTATAATTCGGCTATTATTATCAAATTGCCCACTGCATTTCACACTCGCGAAAATGAGGATTAGAGCCTACATTTATATTTTAAGCATATTTCATGAGTTAAATATATTCTGAAGCACAATATAAAAAACTTAAATAAGATGTTTGAAAAAGAACACTGATCAAATTTAGAGAACACTTTCAGATACCTCCCTGTCATTTGTAAATATGTAAGCGAAAACCCTTGGCTAGGTGTGCATTACGTTATTTTAATGCACAACATAGAGGCAAAGAACCACTTGATACAAAGTGCATTAAAACTATATAAGGCACATCTAGCTGTGATCCAACTTGTATCATAAAAGAGAGAGAAACTCTTTGGGCCTCGTTTACGAAACAAACGTACAACAGAAAAGTGGGCGTACGGTCGTTTCTACACAAAACTTGGAATTTATCAATATGGACATGAGCGGTGACTACGATCAAATCTCAAGTCAGGTCTCAGCTCATGTACACAAGTTTTTGAGTTGCCTGAACTTGCATGCAGCACATAAATCTGGTGAATTGTATAATGGCAGCATTTTGTTCATTTAGATTATTTTCTTGACCGACAACTGAAGCTCATTAGTCAATTGTTAACCAGTAAGATTAGTATGTAATTTATTTTCAGGGCTTTAGCTTTATATGCGCGAATAGCAACAACAAACCATGAGGATTCACACATCGCCGCATCACACACCGGCAGCGCTTCTGTGAACAGAACAGAGAAAAACAGAAATTAAGTCTATAAAAGGAATAAAATAAATAGGACTACACAAAATATATGTCTCTTAACAAAAGGAAAAAAAAAACTCTGTGACAAGTATAGGCTATGCTCATTTTTGTGACACTCTTAATGCATTTTATTTCTTTCTTTATGTCTTTATTTTATTAAACCCATCTGATCACGCAGGCGCCTCACGCACACACACAACATTAGGTCTAGCGTTGCTTGATATTTCAGCCATTCATCATCAAACTAAAATGCAGTCAACAAAACATAGAAGTTACACTGTTTATTTTAAAATGTCCGCTGTAAAATTAGCGTGCATTACCCCAAACAAACACTTTTGTGCATGTGAAGGATTTTACGCAGATATTGGAACATGAGTGCCTTGTTTAGACTACACAATGAAATAATAGTTTAGCAACCAAATGTTACAAATATGGCTAAAATGTAAACGTTTGGATTCTTGTTGAATGAGAGAGGCTCGTGAGCTAGAGCCCTGCACGGGCCTCAAATTTGCCCGGCCCGTGTCCGACAGCTTATCAGAATTGCCGACCCAAGCGCGTCTTTTTCCCCCCTTCTCCCAAAACAGCTTATACTACTGTTTCAGCTATTCAAATAGTTCAGTTTTGTATGTCATAGCAAAATTATTATATTTCGTTTCGTAACGTAGAAAAACGTAGAATACACGTAATTTTTTTGTTTTTTAAAGTAACGACCAAGCGGCCAGCGGCAGACAGTGAGCCTACTGTATGTTTGATCAATTTAGCCTTCTCAAATCATCACGACTTGCCTAAAATAAAATCTATAGATATAAAACAGTATAAACAAGCATATAACAATGTTTAAATGTTAAACCTAGATAAATGTGCGCTATATCCAATCGTTTGTGCCGAGACGCTTTGCAGGACATGGAGGCGCCAGCGCAATCACTTGCATTTTTTTCAGTGGATACGCCGTCATTTTTGCTCATAAAGGTAAGAGTAATCATTCATAACTGCAAAGGGTCTACTTTTATTTGTGTGCACTCACAATATCAACAAAACGTTGTGCTTTTATAAAATAAAGAAAACAAACATGATGCGCTTTCTGCCGTCTTGTCTTTAACATGAGTTAAAAAATGAACCGAAACTCAGCAAATACATGCCTCACAGACATGATAAATATATCTATAGAAAGCTTTAAATTACTACCTAAAACAAATCGAAAACAAAAACTCTTTCATTATCATAATCATAATCCGTAAAGATGCACTTCTCTCTAAAGGCGAGTCTAATGAGGAGATGGCGGGTCAAGATCGGCAACTTCATCCTCCCGGCCCGCGTCTGAACTATGACATGAAAATTAACCCGAAGCCCGTCCCGGGGGGCGTAAAAAAGTCGGGGCTGAAATGCAGGGCTCTATCGTGAGCCCAATGCCGTTTCAGTTTTGCTTGACGTTTGTGTGCTGTTTATAATAAATGCCACTAGCCACTAGTGACTTAAAAATGTTGACTCTTTGCTTCTGTGATTCTGCTTGGTAACAGCAGGTGTCTTCACTAATGGTCAATCATCATTCAATTAATCACTAATTATCTCATTAACACTGCTTCAGTGTTAATTTTTACACTCATGAGTGTGGACTCAAATAAACTTATTTCCATACAGAATGAAAAAAATCTTGCATTACATATAAATTAATAATCTGAGTTAAAAGACTTTCTTTATAAATAATAATAATAATAATAATAGAATCTAATCCATATTTATCTTTGAGCTTTATCGTATCCACAAAATAATTAGAAAGTACTTTAGAAATTAAAAGTAATTGCTTTCGTGCCATGATCACAGATAATGTTTTCGTTCCAAATCTAGTTCTGTTTTTGTCACTGGCTTTTTAAAATTTCCTGTTAAATTTTCCCATATTAATTTTGTATTTCCTTTTCCCTCATCTCTTATATGAAAGTTCACTTTTGCTTTTTTAATTTCACTTATTACGTTATTTGTAAGCGGGTGCGCTAGTGTGTGGCAGGGCAAGTCGCATTTCCACTGTCACTTCTGGGGCTTGATTGTGCCTCGTCGGGGCTTCTTTGGGGCCAACAGGTGGTGTTTCTGCTCATCTCTTTTTTTTCTTAAGCAGGTGTTCGTCACTAATGCTCAATCAGTACTCAATGAACAGCTCTTCAGCACAACTGTAACCCCACAAACTTACACATACCAGAAACACTTTTACGTTTTTAAATAATACAACATTAACCGATCTCCCCCTATATTAATATTAAGCAGTAAACACACGACATAGCACTTAATTAAACATTTTTACTCTCCTTCACCAGTCAGAAGCAAAGCATATTGGGAACTAGAAATCTGCTTTAAGTAATGCTGTGAATGTGTGTATATATGTGTGTACATACATTCACATTTATATGGGAACATCTATGTGCAATATATACTTAAAGTATAGGACAATAAAGTTAACTCTAACTCTACAATACATAACAGCAGCACAACTGCTAGTTGACAGTAGGTTAATAAGAGCGTGACACCAGTGTCGGAACCAGAGGGGTGTCCTGGGTGGCACTGGACACCCCTGACATCTGATCGGCCACCCTGGGTGCCACCCCAATAATTAAGATGCCATTATTTCATTTTCTTTGTTTAGTCGTACTGAAAGAAGCGTTTATTTTAGCCTCGAACTCTAGGATGCGACGCGTCTGGTGTTCCGCATCGCACTTCATCTCGTCCATTTCCAGCCGCTCGCGCCACACGTTCATTTTCTTACGGAGTGAAAAACATGCCAGAGCAGAGAGGACACAGACAGACAACCAGCTGACAGACATGACAGAGCAGGTCACTTTTGATAATAGGACACAAAGTCTCTGCATTCAAATTCTGTTAGCTTTATTAAGACAAATACAGTTTTGGAGCTCTTTATTGGCGCTCCCGCTATGCCTCAGTTCAAGCGAGGCAGGAGTGCATTCTATAATTAGCATGAAATAAACATCGAATGCACATCAGATTCATGTTGAAAGATACACTACAACTTAATGTATAGTGTCTCATGTAATCACTCAATGAGTGTTTCAACCGCGGAAAGACAGCAGCTTGAAAACACTGTCACATAACCTCAGAAAAGCCTTTCAGTGTCCATAAACTAGCGAGAAAAATGTACACTAGAGAGGAGAATTTAGCAAACATTACATTTAGGCTATACATTTACTCATAATTGCTCTTTTTATTATAATCAATAAAAAATGTATAGATATAACGTTATTATAAAAATGGTCTAATATGAACTTGTATACAAATCAATTGTTACTTTTAACTTTAACAATAGGGTTCCTGTATAGTTTAGTTTAGAAAAATTTAGTACACTACCAGTCAAAAGTTTTTTCTGCTCATCAAGCCTGCATTTATTTGACCCAAAATACAGCAAAAGCAGTAATATTGTGAAATATTTTTACTATTTAAAATAACTGCTTTTTATTTGAATATTAAAATGTAATTTATTTATGCGATATTAAAGCTGAATTTTCAGCATCATTACTCCAGTCTGCTTCAGAAATCATGCTATTATGCTGATTTGCTGCTTTATTATTATTATTATTATTATCAATATTTAAAACAGTTGAGTACCTTTTTTTTTTTCAGGATTATTTTAATGAATAAAACGATCCAAAGATCATAATTTATCTGAAAAAAAAAAATAATAATTTTGTGAAATTATAGAAATTAATACTTTTATTTAGCAAGGATGCTTTAAATTGATCAAGAGTGATGATTAAGACATTTATAATGTTACAAAAGATTTCTATTTCAGGTAAATGCTGTTCTTCTGAAATCTACTCAGCTGTTTTCAACATAATAATAGTAATAATAATAATACATGTTTTTTGAGCAGCACATCAGAATATCAGAATGATTTCTGAAGGATCGTGTGACTGGAGTAATGATGCTAAAAATTCAGCTTTGAAATCACAATAAATTACATTTTAAAATATATTCAAATAGAAAACAGTTATTTTAAATAGTAAAAATATTTCACAATATTACTGCTGTTGCTGTATTTTGGATAAATAAATGCAGGCTTGGTGAACAGAAGAGAACTGGACTGGTAGTAATCGCAGACTAATTATTCCTGAATTTTCACTCCAGGCTGAACTCAAAAGTTGTCAGCCCTGTTTGAAGTAACTGAAGTTTGAGGTTTCCTGAACTACATTTACAAACTTCACTGTAGCCTACAAGTTAATGTTAGATCTTCTGCTCCAACCACTGCTTAATGAGATGATAGAAGTAAGAGAAATACGTTTCTAACATGTGAAGTTATGGTATGTCTAGCTAATGTGGGCTAATGTGAAGTAATCGCATGAAGTAAACTCAGTTCTTCCACTGCTCTAGACACAAGTGTGTGAAGCTCTTCTGATGAATGACTGCCGCTGATTCACCTTTAGTGCAGAACTGCAGAAATTGAGAAACTAATAGACTCTGTGTATGTGTGTGTGTGCGTGTCTGTCTGTTTGTCTGTGTGTGTGTGTGTGTGTGTGCGTGTCTGTCTGTTTGTCTGTGTGTGTGTGTGTGTGTGAGAGAGAGAGAGATTGATTGATTGATTTATACATGGATGTGTGAGTTTGTGAGATTATATTCTTGAGACAGATATTTTTTGAGTTTGTGTAAAACAATCAAATGAAGAAAGAGATGAGAGAGTTTGTGTGAGAAACTAATAGACTGTGTGTGTGTGTGTTTCTAGTGTGGATCATGGAGGAGAGTTCAGGATCACAGCAGGACCTCAAAGATGTAAGTCCTCAGTCAGACGGAGTTTTCTTGTTTGTAGTTTAGTTGTAAATGTGTGTGTTGTAATGTGTGTGTTGTGTTCAGACGCCTGTGATCTCACACTGGATCCAAACACAGCAAACATTCGACTCGTTCTGTCTGAGGAGAACAGAAAGGTGACGCGTGTCTCTGAGCTACAGTTATATCCTGATCATCCGGACAGATTTGATGAGTATAATCATCAGGTTCTGTGTTCAGAGAGTCTGACTGGACGCTGTTACTGGGAGACTGAATGGAGTGGAGCTGGAGCTGTTTATATATCAGTGGCTTATACACACACACACACACACACACACACACACACACACATTCACTCAACCACTACACGCTGGATTTAGACTTTATTATAACAACTCTTCAGTGTCTCTGTGTCACATTAAACATTAAACTCACACACACACTGATAAATATGTGTAAAATAAAATGTCATATTTACACTGTTGTGTCATATTTCTCAGACTCTATTTTTTAGGAGTTGATGCAGTTTTAATGTAATAGAAAACCCCTAATCAATACATTATTATTAAACACTCTTTAAACTATTGATTTCCATTTTTGGGATGTGATATGTTGATGAGAAAATGAAGAAAAGTGAGTTCAGCAAAAGATTTCTCTTAAAAGTAAAATCTCGTATTATAATGACTTTTATCTCGAGATGGTTCTTTATTTTTGAGTCACACTTGGTACTTAAAATACATTATTATTATTATTTATATATATATATTATTTTTTATTTTTTTGTTCAATAATATTTTTTGTTTCATATTTAAAGTTTTTAAAAGATTTTATGATACTTTACAATATTTATACAATATATTTGAGCTATTTTCCCTTTAAAATTAAACTCGTTAGCTCCTTTATTTTTGAGTCACACTTGATTTGAATTTTATAAAATCAACGTAATATATTTTTGTTTTTTAATTTCTTTTTTTCAACCCTTAAAGGAGACATATTATACCCCTTTTTACAATATATAAGTCTCAGGGGCCTCATTTATAAAATGTTTTTATAAAATAGATCTGATCTTAGAGTGTGCGTTCGCTAAAATCTCCTAGCAACAAGACACATTTCTGGATGAGTTTGTTGTGATTGGAACGACTTGAAGTTCTGGTAGTGTATGATCTTCAGTCGTCTAGTGTATGATGGCCAGTCTTTCTCTGTCACTATTTACAAAGTCGGTAAGTGTGTGATGCCTAGCGTTTTAAAAATCTGTTCAGATTTTAAAAGTTGTGTAGTGTATTCCAGCCTTTATACACACAAACAAAGACTTCTCAAACTCTGCTGCTCTTTGCTAGCAAATGCTGGTTAGGTATGTTTTGAAGCATGGCTGCTGGTTTGTACTGGTTTGAACTGGTCCTGAGCAGGAGCTAGTTGCTTTGTGTAAAGCATAGTTGAATATGTTTACACTAGTGAACGAACATCTGCTTACACTAGTGAACGAACATCTGTTTATACTAGTGAACGAACATGTTTATACTAGTGAACGAACATCTGCTTACACTAGTGAACGAACATCTGCTTACACTAGTGAACGAACATCTGCTTACACTAGTGAATGAATATCTGTTTAGTGAATGAATATGTGCTTACTAGTGAATGAATATGTTTACACTAGTGAACGAACATCTGCTTACACTAGTGAACGAACATCTGTTTACACTAGTGAATGAACATCTGCTTACACTAATGAATGAACATCTGCTTACACTAGTGAACGAACATCTGTTTACACTAGTGAATGAACATCTGCTTACACTAATGAATGAACATCTGCTTACACTAGTGAACGAACATCTGCTTACACTAGTGAACGAACATCTGTTTACACTAGTGAATGAACATCTGCTTACACTAGTGAACGAACATCTGCTTACACTAGTGAACGAACATCTGTTTACACTAGTGAATGAACATCTGCTTACACTAATGAATGAACATCTGCTTACACTAGTGAACGAACATCTGTTTACACTAGTGGACGAAGATCTGTTTACACTAGTGAACGAACATCTGTTTATACTAGTGAATGAATATGTTTAGTGAACGAACATCTGTTTATACTAGTGAATGAATATGTTTAGTGAACGAACATCTGTTTATACTAGTGAATGAATATCTGTTTAGTGAACGAATATCTGTTTATACTAGTGAACAAACATCTGTTTACACTAGTGAACGAACAACTGTTTACACTGGTGAATGAACATCTGTTTACACTAGTGAGTGAATATCTGTTTTTACTAGTGAACAAACATCTGTTTACACTAGTGAACGAACATCTGTTTACACTGGTGAATGAACATCTGTTTACACTAGTGAGTGAATATCTGTTTTTACTAGTGAACAAACATCTGTTTACACTAGTGAACGAACATTAGTTCGATAATCTGCTATTCCAAACAAAGCGAATGTAACGCTTGAGGTCATATTGGACCAGACATGGACAGCCAAAATAAAAAACCTGTAATGTAAAGAGGTGAACATCTAAAGATCATGTTAAAGTCTCAGCATGAGCTCCAGTACACGGTGTGTGTGTTTGTGTGTCGCTGCTGCAGTGGAAACTTCGCTCAATAAATGCTCTATAAATGGCATTGAGTTTTGCTGTGAGCAGCATTTCATTCAGACTCACCCTTGAGCTCCATGTTCTTCTGCAGCCCCTCATTCACACTGAAGTGTTGCTTTATTTAGATTTAATTTGTAAACCTCTACAGACTTACAGAGCAGATAAACCAGTTAAAGATCCTCTGAAACCCAGACTGCAGTTCTGTGGCTTTAGTCCATGTCTGTTTTGAGGCCATTTATACTCTTGTGTACTACTAAACATTGACATAATTTTTTTCCAGGTGTATTTAAAATTTCGAACACCTGCAAACTATTAAAATGATTGCTTTGCACCATCCAACTTCCTGTTCAATAGAAAATACATTACTGATCATCTGGTCTAGAAGGATTATGGGATATTCTGATAAAGTTTATATGCATAGAAAATGTTAATAAAATGAATGGATATAAATTGAGATTAAACCAACTGAAAGTCATTAAAAAAAATAAATAAACAGCAATAAAAACAGCTTTTCTCGTTTCTTTAAAAAGAAATAAAATGATATTTATTACACTTGTACATTAACCATTATCAATATAAATATTATAACATTGTTTTTTAATGCCATCATGAACACTGATGACACAATGTAACCCTGTTTCTCTGGCACTGAGGAAGAACATCATCATTTATGATTGACATCAGGAGTAATAATGATATGAAATGGCATCAATATAATATAGTACGTAGTTTCATAACATCAGCAACACGACCCACATTAATAGTGATACTTTGGCTAAATATTAAAAACTGACTAAAAACGAATGTCGTTTTGACTGATATTTCCAGCAGTATTTGGATGTTATGAACAGAGAATGGATTTGTGAGACTCTATTTCTCTTCCAGTTTGAGTTTTAGGGAAACTGAAATAACTCTGTCTGGACCACAACGGTTTCTCAGGAAACCAGAAAATGACAGACGGACAGACACTAAACAAAAATAAAACACTAGAAAACATCTGGTAAACTATGTTACATGTGAAATAAATGCTAAAAAAAAGATATCAACACATATTTTCCTGGCCATTTGAGACTTCTGTACTCCCACCAACAGCCAGAGACAAAGACAACACCACAAACAGCAACATTAATGAATTCATTTCAATTGCCTTTCCTTTGGTTTCAGCTTAAATCTGAGTTCCATTGCCTGATATCTGACTGAATGGATCAATGAGGAAAGATCAGTCCAATCATCCAGACGAGTCTGTCTTGTTTCTCAGCATCTGGTGATGAAGCTCCTGCTGCTGCTCCTGGATTCGGTTTTGGCCACCAGTAATCGCAGCGAATCGCTGGACGTCCGGATGAGTTCTCGTCCACTGCCAGGAAAAGACAGAACATGAGAGGATCATTTGGTCAGTTTTGGAGTCAAGAACATTGAAAATCATACGAATGCCGAAAAAAAAAAATCATAAGATATCAAAATTAGTTTTAAAAATATAACCCTGACTGATAGCACCTGTACCGAAAACATCCAAAACTGTTGACAAATTCTTATTAGTGGAAGTCACAAAAGCTTAAGGTGAAGTGTGTCATTTTTGCAGCACTAGCGGCAGCAAGAAACAGGTAGCCATAGAGAGCCATATCACAAAAAAAGGAATGTGTCCCACAATGTTTTAGTTTTTTAAATAAATGGATACAAGACACATGTATTTGAACCTAAAATGGCACTGTTCAGCAGCATGTTGAATGTTTGGAGAAGTGTTCACCTGTGGTAGTCCATTCCCACCAGACTGACTCCATTGACAGCGAGTATGCGGTCGCCCACTCTTAGTCTCTGACTGAGGCCTGCTGGGGAATCAGGCACCACTGACTTCACGTAGATCCCACTCACTCGCAGAGGAGTTTTCTATCAAGACACAAGATTAGCGATGACTACTTGATGATCCAACAGCAACAGGAAATGAATTAGTCTAGTGGGACTGCTGCATTTGTTTGAGAGCGTCCTGACTCACATGGATAAAGAAGATGTTTTATTGTCTCTGAAGACTCAACCACACAGTCATCAGGTTCTTTCTTTATCTTATTGTTAACATCAGCTCTATCTTTTCAATGACAGTGCAGTTCTGGGAAACGCAGGAGGTCTTCTCACATTCAGTCAAGCTCTGGTCTCATTATTGTGTGTCCAACGCAAACCCATTCCTCCCCTACTGAGCCGCTTCTCGTAAAACAACCCCCCTCACGTGTACCTCATAGCTAACACCTAAAGTCAGCGATACCAAGTCATTTACAGGGCCAAACTCTCAGAGGAAGCGAACAAAGCAACCCAGAGACTATGGCTCTGTTCCAAAAGCTAATGAGCTTCCTACATAGGCAGCATTTTAGGGCATCACTTCTGATGTGAAGGCTTTAAAAACGACAAGATTATGCCGTCACCCACGTCATCTTTGGCTAAAACCAAATCTAAGGTAGCAACACATTTAGCAAAAATCTAAGGTCGCATTATGTGTCCTTTGCAGAGAAGACAATCCCATAACACACTGTGACAAATTCAGTGAAGAAACCTAGTCTGAAGATGCTAACTGTGTATCATGCATATAATTAAATAAAATAGGCCCACTTTACCAAAAAATTAGTGTGTAACCATATAAAGCAATAGCATCTCTTCAGAAGACTTGGATTCAACTGCTTGATTCATATGGATTACTTTTGCAATGTCTTTATGAACTTTTTGGGTGAATGGATTTTCAATGGAGGAACAGAATTCTCTCAGGTAGGTCTTAGGGGTTTGTGATGACATGACATGAAATGATGACAGAATTTACATGTTTGGGTGAAGCATCCCTAAGGGAAGTTAAGATGCTGTCTATGTACGCTGTATGCAGCAAGGCAGGTTTTTGGGACAAAGCCTGCATGCACTTAACTGTACAGATCTAGTGTAGCCCTGCTTATTTTTAGTCATAACAGCTGTTGAGTGGCCTAGTTTTGAAGCTGATGAGAAGTTGTGCAGCAAGCGCTCAAATTGCATTGCAGTTTTCATTTGACTAGCATGTTTATATGAAGCACTGTCATTCTGTATATAAAACAGGGTCATTTCAACAGCATAATCACAATGAAGGAACAACATTACACACAGACAATATGTAATCTACTTATTAGAGGGGCCTTTTGCTTACAATGTCACACCTTCTCCAGTAAATAGAGAGTATGTGTGTGTCAAAACAAAAACGTATCCAGGCATAGGCGCGGGAAGTGGGGGTGCTGTTTTTTTTTTTCTGTGGGCAACTGTTTCTGTTGGGAATAAAATAAAAAAAAATCGGAGTGTCTATTTACACTAAGTGCAAATAGCCCGCCTTGTTGGCAGAGGCTATTTACATTAACTCCACCCACCAACGTGTGATTGGGATAGTCAAGATTACAAGGAAATAATCAAAAAGTTGAAAATAAAGTATCGGGTAGGGTTAGGTGTAGGGAGGGCTTTTGACCCAATAAGGTGGCATCCATTTAATAATTTGAATTAAAATTAAAATTTACACTCAATAGGTTATTGCACACTGTTTTATAATGTATTACAATGCTAAGGTGCAGATAATTGCCACTATTGGCAATAAGGGGAATAAAATAAAAAAAAATCGGAGTGTCTATTTACACTAAGTGCAAATAGCCCGCCTTGTTGGCAGAGGCTATTTACATTAACTCCACCCACCAACGTGTGATTGGGATAGTCAAGATTACAAAAGACGGTCGTTCGTCATTAATCAGATTCAGTGGCGTAGGTGGTAAAGCATGTGTCATTCTTCTTTTGACGCGATCGACCCGGGTTCGAATCTGCCTTTTGGC